GTGAGTCTGGGAGGTCAGAGCTCATTCCCCTGGTGTCCTGCAGGGGGCGGTGAGTGTGGGAGGTGGAGTCCGTCACATTGAGCGGGTTCACTCGCTGCCTCCTTGGCGGCCGGTGCCGGTGGCTATGGCGGACCGGGACCCTCTCTCCTATTTCGCCGCTTACGGGAGTTCGGGGTCGGAGAGCGAGTCGGAGCCGGAGCTTGAGTCGGGTCCGAGGACGGGGGCAGGGCCAGCGGGTGTGGGTGTCCCGGAGCCGGGCGGTGGCGGTGACTGTGATCAGGCCCAGGCCCAGGCCCAGGCCCAGGCCCAGGCCCAGGCCCAGGCCCCGGGCTCGCAGGCCGCCCTGCCCCGGCCGGACGAGCTGTTCAGCAGCGTCTCCAGACCCAGTTTCCTGGGCAGACCGACGAGCGGCCTCATCAACTGGGAAAAGCGGGTAGTGAGGGCCCCGGAGGAGGTGAGAGGAGAGTCCGAAAGGTCAAACATATAGTTTAGTCATAAAAAAAATCTGTTTATGTCTATGTTTATGGACACAAATGAAGTGTAGTTCTGTACAGGAGCATATGAAGGGAACAGACAAACATTGGAGGTTGACCCTATCCCAACAAACCAAAGACCTCTTACACAAAACTAATATTTATATATATTTGAGGCGCTGGGAGGGTCCGATAACTGAATCAGCCCCCATTTACCTTCAGCAGGAAGGCCTCAGACAGCGGTTTTTCCCCACTGCCCCTTGGCGGTAGCTGCCCCAAGCTTTAGTGCGTCCCTCAGCCTGTAGTCCTGGGCCTTGGAATGTGCCAGTCTGCAACACTCAGTAAGGGTCATCTCCTTGTTCTGGAAGACCAACAAGGTTCGGACACCAAAGAGTGTCTTTCACCAAGTTGATGGTGCTCCAGGCACAGTCAGTGTTTGTCACGGTGTGCGTTCCGGGGAACAGACCACATTAGTAGTTAGGAAGGCAAGTGCAATGGTAGCATTCACTTTGAGAGGGCTAGACTATATATTTCCTATAGCATGGAAACAGGCCATTTGGCCCAAAAATCCCTCAACAACCCTCTGAAGAGCATCCCACCCAGACCCAAGCCTCTACCTTTTCCCATGACTAATGTACCTAACCTACACATCCTGGACACTATGGGGTAATTTAGCATGGCCAATCCACCCTAACCTGCACATCTTTGGCCTGTGGGAGGAAACCAGAGCACCCGGAGGAAACCCATGCAGACACGGGGAGAATGTGCAACCTCCACACAGACAGTTGCCCGAGGCTAGAATCAAACCTGGATCCCCGACACTGTGAGGCAGCAGTGCTAACCACTGTGCCACCATGTTGACCCTGTAAGAAATGTCATGCTGAGGCTATATAAGGCTTTGGTCAGACCAAGGATTGAAAATTGTGAGCAGGTTGAGCCCTGTACCTAAAGAAGGATGTGCTGGCCTTGGAAGTTTCACCCTGAACTCAACAAGAGGTCTTTTGTTTCAGAAGTAGGAGCGAGCACCTGGGCAGCCCTACATGACTGCTTTCTTGTCCCCAACTGAAGATCTGATAAAATTGGGAGCTCTCCAATCTTGAAACAGCCGCAGTAGGGTCTAAAGCCAGCAGTTTTCACCAGTCACTTGTTTTTTGGAAGGCTTGATTAGAAAAATGTCTCCCAATGATCTTTCAATTCCTCTTTTAAAGAAACCACTCCAGATATTTTCAGTAATTTGAAATGAATTGATTTTTCCCCAATCCTTTAAAAACTAACTCCACCCAAGCAATATTAAATATGAAGCATCTTTGTAATACATTAACGTTACTGGTAAAGTCTTCATATTCCTGCTGGACCATGGAGTTACTCTATTATTAGAGAGATGATGTGGAGGTGCCGATGTTGGACTGGGATGGATAGGTCAGAAATCACACAACACCAGGTTATAGTCCAAAAGGTTTATTTGAAACCACATGCTTTCAGAGCCTCGGTCCTTCTTCAGGTGTTAGTTGCATTAGCGAGAGGTGACTGGTGATGATTTAATCTGAGGGTCACTATGTCTCAGGTGAGGGGAGAGGTTGAGAAGGAGAGATCTTCATGGTAACACTGTTGATATTACTCTTCATTGTAAACCAGCCTTCCAGCCAACTGAGACAACAAGGTGCAGGGCTGGATGAACACAGCAGGCCAAGCAGCATCATAGGAGCAGAGAGGCTGACGTTTCGGGCCTAGACCCTTCATCAGAAAAGGGGGAGGGGAAGGGGGTTCCGAAATAAATAGGGAGAGAGTGGGAGGCGGATAGAGGAGAGGATAGGTGGAGAGGAAACAAACAGATCGAAGAGGCGGGGATAGAGCCAGTAAAGGTGAGTGTAGGTGGGGAGTTAGGAAGGGGATAGGTCAGTCCAGGGAGGACGGACAGGTCAAGGGGGCGGGATGAGGTTGGTCGGTAGGAGATGGAGGTGCGGCTTGAGGTGGGAGGAGGGGATAGGTGGGAGGAAGAACAGGTTAGGGAGGTAGGGACGAGCTGGACTGGTTTTGGGATGCGGTAGGGGGAGGGGAGATTTTGAAACTTGTGAAATCCACATTGACACCATTGGGTTGCAGGGTTCCCAAGCGGAATATGAGTTGCTGTTCCTGCAACCTTCGGGTGGCATCGTTGTGGCACTGCAGGAGGCCCAGGATGGACATGTCGTCTGAGGAATGGGAGGGGGAGTTGAAATGGTTTGCGACTGGGAGGTGCAGTTGTTTATTGCGAACCGAGCGTAGGTGTTCTGCAAAGCGGTCCCCGAGCCTCCGCTTGGTTTCCCCAATGTAGAGGAAGCCACAGCGGATGCAGTATACCACATTGGCAGATGTGCAGGTGAACATTGCTTAATTCCAGCCAACTGAGCTGACCAGCGGCCTCCCGCTCTCAATACATTATATAAATGCAGTAAGAATTTAAAAATGCAAGAGAAAGTAAGCAGATCAGGCAGCATGTGTGAGGAAAAACAGAGTCGACATTTTGGTTTGATGGTCTTTCATCAGAACATGGCTTTTATTAATATAATTAAGTTTGTTTTTAGTGAATGGATTGTTTATTTTTTTTTGTACTAATGGTTTACATGGCTAAATTTTTCTGCTCATTTGACAGCCGCCAAAAGAGTTCAAGGTCTGGAAAACAAATGCTGTGCCTCCACCAGACACATATGCAGTGGAAGAGAAAAAACCACCATCGGGTGTGGACATGGCAGTTAAGTGGTCATGCATGTATCAGGACAATGGTGAGGATGCTCCACAACGCAGAGCCACCTTGCTTCCAGAAGAGCCCGAAATCTCCGACTCAGGTAGGAGCAAGCCCCAGTCGCTCAAACACTTGGCAAACTTTAACTGTGTTTAAATGCATTACGTGTTAAATGTCAGTTTGTTTCAGGAAGACCCTGAGCCCAGAGGTTTGTGGATGCAAAATGATGGGGACCTGGCTCTGTCACAATTCTGTTAACTTACTCACACAACTTGATGAATTAGAGAAGCTGTTGCAGTTAGGAAGGCATGTGGGATATTTTCCTTCCTTGACCACACTGACTAGAGTTTAAGAGCTGAGAGCTGGTTCTGTACTGTAAGGCCCAGATAGAGTACTGCATACAGAGCTGTTAACCAACATCCAGCATGATGTGATCATGTGGTAGAAAGGGTTGAAGATATTTGCAAGGACGTGGCCAGTGAAGGCTGATTTAATGGTGATAATTAAAATAATGAGGCTAGTAGAGCTGATAGGAAGAAACAGGCCTTTGTTTTCTCTGGGCCCTCTTCTTGGCCATCTAAGCTGTTTGTTTCTGCTCACATTGTCCAATGGCCTTCGAAATAGTCAACTTCCAGAGCTGTTAGTGACTGTCTCTCGTGTGTCAGAGTCAGTGTCCACCATCCTCCTATCTCATCTACAGATGTCCTTGTAGTGGGGGTAGACACCCAGAGGTCATGACTTACTGGCCAGTTCATTGTGCTGTAAGATTCCTATCCTCCTGACTACCTCTCAGACTTCAGCTTCTGATACCTTCCTGCTATTACTGATTGAACAAGACTCCTCTGTTTGGTCTTAAAGCTTTCTTGCAAATCTCCTGAAAGCTGTGGACTTTTAAGTTAAGAGACAGTCTGAAAATTATTTTCTGTGGTTTTTGTTATTTTTCAATTGTATCTACAATTCAATTATGAGCTTTCCAAATTATCTGCGTGAGCTTTCGTGGGATTGGTTGTATTCTGTATGGATGCATTCTCATACCATGAGTAAGACCAAATTTGGAAGATTCCTAATTGGCCACTTAATTTCTATTTATCTGTTACTATTCTATGGTAATTAACGGAGTGTGTGGGGGAAAAGATAGTCTTGTGGAAAATCTGTCTGGATTTTTGTATGAATGCATAGAATATTCCAGCTCAATCGGAAGAGGGTTGAAAGATTACCGTGAGCCTCTTTCCATGTATGTTTCCGGATCACTCATCAGTTTGTTTCCATTTGAGCCAAATTCCAAAAACTTGAATTTAATTTTTCCTCAACGCTATTTTCCTACTTGTTTTGGGTTCTTGCTGTTATCTAAATGAAAGCTCAGAAGCGCAATGGAGGTTGAACTCTCCCTATGGTAAATGTTCTCGGATATGCATTCATCTCGGGAGGCGACGGCCTGTTAATCCAGAGACCCAGGTAATGTTCTGGGCACCCGAATTCAAATCCTGCCACGGCAGATCTGGAATTAAGAGTCTAATGAAACCATTGCCGATTGTCAAGAAAATCTGGTTCACTAATGTCCTTTAGGGAAGGAAATCTGCCTAACTTACCTGTCCTGGCCTACATGAAACTCCAGGCCCACAGCAATGTGGATGACTCTTAACTGCAATTAGGGATGGGCAATAAATGGCCAGTGACTCTCATTCTGTGAATGAATTAAATAAAAGGTATTGGCTGTTTTATTTGCCTAACTCGATTTGCTGCAAGTCAGGCCACTTCTAACTGAAACTAAGAAATCTATTGTAGTTGGTTTTCATGTGATCATTAGATATCAAACTGAGTTTATGTGGGTGAATATTTTTCTGCTTTCAGATGAAGAAGATGGGAATGACTTGTCTGCAAAGAAACGCAAGATTGAAACGTTTCAGCAGAAGGAAAAACGTAAGCGAAATCAGGGACAAGCGAACAGGGAGAAAAGTTTTGTTGAAGAGGAAAAGCGCATTCTCAGGCAGGAGTTTTCCTTAAAAGATTGAAGGCAAGGTTAACTGGACAAGTCCCTTCCCTTCTCCATGGAGTTTACCTTATTCAGCCTGAAGACAAGCACTCTGGATTAAAAATGCAGGAGCAAAACTGATCACGATTGCTGTGTGGATTGTGCAGTGGGAAATTCTTCAAACTAAAACTTAATATATTGTTCACTCGTCCTTTTCAAATAAACAGGAGTCGAACTTTTGCAGAGTGCCAACAGAAAGCAGCAGGACAATGGTTTAGAAGTGCTGACCTTTCAGTGTGGACTTGACACAACTTTTTTTAAACTGAGAAAGAACCTTAGGTTGGCACTTGGACGTGATGCAGCTGGTGTTGATTTACGTAGAAACTTTGCCAGTGTTCCAGTTTGGCTTGTGTAGCAGTCAAACTGGTGTCTGTACAGATGACTCAAGTACTGTGAAGCAGGTTTAGTTTGTTCCCAATTAGAGATATTTGTTACAACGCCCCTAACGACAGAACACAATGTAAAATATCTTAGCACAGCCTACACAGACTTGTCCTCTACTTGTTCTAGTATCGTCTTGATGTTCTAGTATTCAGTCACATTTGGCATTGAAAGTCACAGGTTTGTGGTTACAGGTGAACCCTGTCCTGAATGGGATGATGTGGCCAAGGGTGTATGTGATGTATACAGTGAAGACAGACTCGAACTGGATTTCATTAATGTAAAATAGTCACTAATAAACCCAATGGGGAATTCAGGAGAATTATCTTTACTTTGTGAACAGAGCTTACACCAATATTGATTGAACAGACAACGTAGCTGCATTTAAAGCTGCATGAGCAGATGATGAACAAAGGAACAGAAGGATATTCTAAGAGGATTCAGTGAAGAGGGGAGAAGGCTAATGTGGAGCATAAATAACAGAACAGACCATTGGGCTGAACGGCCTGTTTCTGTGCTGTGGTATTTTGTAATACTACAGCTTTACATGTTTCTAGTTGCAGAAGCTTCAAGTGAATAAATTGCATCTAAAGAGGCTTTTCATTTGCACATACAGGCATGTTGGCCTTAATTAAACTCTTGTTCTTTCTACCTCTAATGGCTTAATTTGGGAAAGAATTGGGCAGTAATTTAGCCCTGCATTCTCTGCTGTAGGTTTTCAAGCAAATAGTAAAATGACATTGCAATAAAGTTGATGTGAACAGCAGTAAATTACCATGGCTTTGCAGGAGAAACAGCAGCTCATGTAGGATCAGGCAGCAGGTGTAGATATGAACTGTATTCCTTTAGATGATAGAACCTTGGATGAGAATCCTATCACATGAATTTAGCAGTATCTACGTTTAAAATAATTAGGTGAAAAATATCACAGGTACATAAGAATAGTGGAGAAACTTCTGAAGAGAAACCTTTTAGAGATGAAGCTTGCAATCTGAATTACAAAACTGAATCAAACCCTGTTTGTGCCATCCTTCAAACAACCAGCTGTAGCTGTGACAGGATTGGGGGAGGAGAGAATTAAAGGTTGGTGTACTTTACCAACTTCACAAACTTCAGTCGCCAGAGGGCTCTCGCAACTCTATCCAGTGTGTGACCGAATTTGCAGGTTTACTGTGATTGGTACATCAGTACAAGACAAGGCAGGGGCTTGGTCTTATATTTGTTAAAAAAGCATTCAAGTTGCTGACTGTTAAACTTTTGAACTTATTGATGAGATTAATTGTAGAAACAAAATCTGTCACCGGGATTCTATGTGAAATGAATTTAGGTATTCTTAACACAGGTTATAACATGGGAAATTGGAACAAAATTGGCTTTGAGCCTGTTTGTGCCATTGAAAAGGTCATGACTGATCATCTGCCTTACCTGTGTGTTCCTGCATTATCATCACCACATCATTTGATTCCCAGTGCTCTGTCTTGAATGTATTTAGTGAAATAGGTAAAGCATTCCACAGATTCACAAAGCTGAGTAAAGAAATTTCTCCTTGTCTCATACGGCTGACCTCTTATTCTGATACTGAGACTCTGTTCTAGAATCCCCAACCAGGAGAAACATTTTCTCAGCATCTACCTTTTTAAGCCCCTGAGGAAATTTATGTTTAAATTCAATATCTCATTTGTCAAAACTCCAGGGAATATGGGTCTGGTCCTGTCAAATCTCTACTTAGCTCAGTAGTCTGGTAAATAATACACTCCCTCTGTAGCAATGACCTAGTGGAATTGTTGCTGGACTGTTAATCCAGAGACTCAGGTAACGTTCTGGGGACCCTGGTTTGAATCCTGCTTTGGCAGATGGTGGAATTTAAATCCAATAAAATATCTGGAATTAAGCGTCTAATGATGACCATGAATCCATTGTTGATTGTTGAGGGAAAAAAATCCATCTGGTTCAGTAATGTCCTTTAGGGAAGGAAACCGTCGTCCTTACTGGTCTGGACTAGATGTGACTCCAGACCCATGGCAATGTGGTTGACTCTTAACCCTCTGGGATGGGCAGTAAATGCTGGCTTAGCCAGTGACACCCACATCCTGGGAACAAATAAAAAACAAGTCATTCATAAGATCCATCTCTGAGTGAATCACGGACGTTTACAGTACAGAAGGAGGCCATTTGGCCCATTGAGTGCTTGAAGGCAGGTCCTTAGCTCATTCAGTGTAAGAATGTTTCATTCTGAGCAGTTCTCGTGGGTGTTTTTGTCATGTATTTCGTAACTGATTGTTGTACCTGCATGTTAACTTTGTGTCTCATGTATAAGGATATCCAGTCCTGCTGAAGTTAAGCATTTCCCAGTCAAAAAAAGCTTTATTTTCCTTGTAAAATGAATAATGTAACACATCACAGAGGACCGAAGGCACAGAAACAGGCCATTCGGACCAATCAGTCCATGCTGGTATTTATGTTACACTCAAAGCCGCCTCCTATCTTTTCTAACACAGATCAGAGAATTGTTATAATGCAGAAGCAGACAAGACTCTTTGAAAATTTTGACTTGGTGCTAAGCTCCTGCCCTTTCCCTGCAATCCCACAGAGTTGTTTCTATTTAACCAATCATTTCCTATCCTTTTGAATTTCTCTGTTGAACCTCCCTCTACCACACTCCTAAGCAGTATGTTCTGGACCCTAACTACTCATTGTGTGGAAAATGTTCTCATTTCACATTTGCTTCTTTTGCAAGACGTTTTAAACCTGTGCCCCTTAGTTCTTGATCCTCTTTCTTTTCTCTACAGAAAGTAGCCCCAACTTCTCCAAATTCCCTAGAGTAGTGTATTGGCCCAAACCTGGATATTATCCAGGTCTCACTGCATTTGGGCATTTATGGCTTCAGCATTTGAGGAGAGTTGAATGGTGCTGAACACTGTGTAATCATCAGCGAGCATCCCCACACTTATGATGAAGGGGAGGTCATTCAAGAAGCAATGGTGTATAGTTGGGCCTAGGCCACTACCCTGCGGAACTCTCGCAGAGGTGTCTTGGAGCTGAGATTACTGATTTCCGATAAGTCCAACCATCTTCCTTTATGTTAAGCATAACTCCAGCCAGCAGAGAGTTTTCCCCCATGTTGTTAATGAGTCCAGCTTTGCAAGGGTTGCACTCGGTCGTATGCTACCTTGATGTCAAGGGTAGTCGTCACTCACGTTCCTTCTAAAGTTCAATTCTTTTCTATGTCTAATGAGATTGAGCTGAGTGATGCTGCTACTTTATGGATAGGATTCTGGAGACTACTTGGCATCAAGTGATAAGGAGGTAGTGCAGGTAAGTGGTGTTGAAGTAGATGATGAGCCACGGTCTAAGGAAATGGGAAGAGGGTTGGCCCTTTGAGCCAGTTCCACCATTCATGTGTCTTATGACTGACAGACGTAGCATGGGAAGACAAGTAGCAGCTGAAATTTAATGTTGGGAAGTATGAAGTGATTCACTCTTTACTCATTTGTGGGATGTGGGTGTCGCTGGCTGGGCCCAGCATTTATTGCCCCTGTTCCCAGTTGCCTTGAGAAAGTGGTGGTGAGGTGATTTCTTGAACCACTGCAGGCCATGAGATGTAGGTATACACACAATGCCATTAGGGAGGGAATTCCATTCTGGTAGGAAGAATGAGAATTGTCAAAATCAAGTGAGCAAAGGAGCACTGGGACCTCGGGATATAAGAGCACAAATCAGTGAAGGTGGCTAGACAGGATGAGAGAGTGATCAATAAGACATCTGAAACCTGGGCTTTGTAATAGGAGTATAAAGTACAAAAGCAAGTTAGTTATCATGAACCTCCACTAAACACAAGTTGGACCTTAACTGGAGCATTGCATACTATTCTGAGCATTGCTTTAAGAAGGATAAGAAGGAATTAGAAAAGTGCAGCAAAAATTCATGAGAATGGTTCCTACAAATAGTTTGGAGAAGCTGGGGTTGTTCTTCGAGAATAGAAGGTTGAGAGTAGAGTTAATAGAGATGTTCAAATCATGAGAGATTGTGGCGGAGAAGTTTGAAAGAGTCTTGCCACGGATGGAAGAGTTAAGAGGTAATTGGCAGAACAAGCAAGAGGGATGTGCGAAAAACATTTTCATGCAATGAGTGGTTAGATTGCACTAGCTGTGAGTTTGGCAGCAACGGGTTCATGGAGACTTTTGGAAGGCGATAATTATCAAAAGTATAAAATGATTGCTTAGGTGGAAGGAAACTGGTGGTCAACCATCTTGGGTGTTCTTGGTGTCTATTAAAACCAAATTCGAAACCCCTTTGTGCGGTAGCTTTCTGAAGTCACTCCCCATTTAAATAATATTCAGCTCCTCTAATCTTCCTGCCAAAGTGCGTAGCCCCACATTTGCCTACATTATATTCAATCTGCCAAGCTTTTGCCCAATTTCTTAACCTGTCTCTATCCCTCTCAGTCTCAGCACTTGCCTTCCTATCAATTTTTGTGTCATCTGCAAATGTAACTCTAGCACATTCATCTTCCAATCTGAGTCACTAAAATATAATGTAAATAATTGAAGGAAGAAGTTCTCTACTTGACATGATCATCAGTGAATGCTGTTTGGCACTGAAATATCCAAACACAAGATAACCAAATAGAGAGAACTGGAACACAGATATTCAAGATAGATTGATGGAAAATTTTCATATCTTATAATGCATGATATTGAAATAGTTATGATGAACTGTTTGCGGTCTGATAAGATAATATCCTTTCACCCTCCCTCTTTCACTGAATCCTCTGAGTCACTGTTTGGTGTTTGCAGAAATGAAGTTTTTTTCACAGTGTGTCGAAAAACAATCATACTGACCTGGGATAGTGAGGGATATTTAATTCAGGCCATAAGATATAGAAGTAGACTGTTCAACTCATCAGCCTGACCATGGCTGATCTGATAATCCTCAACTCCACCTTCCTGCCTTTTCCCCATAAATGCTTCCCCTTCTCCTAGACTGTCCCACAAGGGGGAAGCATTTCCCCATCTACCATGTCAAGTTCCCAAAGAAATTTGTCTGCTTTAATAACGTTGCCTCTCATTCTAAATTTCAATGAGTACAGGTCCAACCTTCTCAATCTCTCGTCATAAGATAGTCCTTCCATACCCAGATCAGACTGGTGAACCTTCTCTGGACTCCCTCCAATGCCAGTATATCTTTCCTTAAATAAGGGGCCCGAAACTGTTTACAGTATTCCAGCGTCTTACATAGTTTTAGCAAAACTTCCCTAGTTTTACACTGCATTTCCTTTGAAATAAAGGCTGGCATTTCATTTACCTTCCCTGCTGAACTTGG